GCTTATCCTTCAGCTGATTTCCTCTGGCTAAGCATGCAGATCTCTGATAACTGTAACGTGATCAAATAGCAGGATTTTGTGGTGTAGCTGAAAATACCTGATTCACAACTGAGAGCTCCTCGGTGAAACCAATTGATGCCAGCCAGCAATGAGGACTAATTTTATTTTTGATATTAAGAACTCCCATGTACAGTTTTAGAACTTCAGTTCACACTGAGATCAGGACTACATCTCTTAGGATCTTTTTCCAGTGCCTGGTTCTCACACAACTTCTCACAAAAGGCAGCTGTAGGGCAGAACTGCTTTGTGCTGGCTCTGCACCTGCTGTGCCAAAAACGTCTTCAGCCCTCACATCCAACAGGAGCTGAACTGGAGCTCCTTGCTCCCTCTCGCTGGCCTTGATTGCAATTCCTTTCCCCCTGACTGTGCAGAGATAATTCTACATACAGAACCTACCTGGCTCTAGAGCATGTGTTAGTAAAGGGTTAGGAAATTCTGCTGTCCTGCTCTGCCCATCCTTTATCTCCTTCTAAAACAAAGAGAAAGTTGAGCTTCTGACAACTTCTGACAACTTCTCAGAGCTTAGCTAACAGGGCTAAGTCTAAAATAAATGACTGAATTAAGAAAAAAATTAAAAAAAAAAAATAAAATAAAATAAATAAATTAAATTAAATTAAATTAAATGACCGAATTAAGGAAAATGCTGCCTTTCAGTGTGGCTGATGCAGGACGCAGAACCAACCAGACACCGAATCTCTGGAAAAGGATAACAGCCCTGAGATCCTGGTGAATCTCTGACCCCCTCATCATCAAACAAGGAACAGATTCAGGCACTAGAGGGAACTACTGGAAACTAATTGATCTGCTCAAGGAGGAGATGAAAATCACACTTGACCAACCATCATGTGGGTCTGGGCTGGGCTTTATTGGGTGTTCAGATTAATGAGTTCAGAATACCTCGTTATGGAACATGAAAATGCAGATGGAGAAGTTTTAAATACTCATTTTGTTGTATCAAGTGACCTCTGTTGTGCATCAGGACACCCAGTGCACGCTGTCAGTGTGGGTCTCAAAGCACCCTCAATAAAGTGTTCAGTGTGCTTCCCAACACGCTCTGCTCAGGCTACCTGAGGCTGACAAAAAAGCAACTCAGAGTATTCCTTTTTTTCTCCCTCTGAATAGTGGTCCATTGTGCATGTTCAAAGGCTTCTTTTTGGCAGATTTCCAGCTGCAATTTTCTCATTCTTCCTGTCCCAAATAATATATTCTTTTTTTTTCCCAAAGAGTAATTTTATTACTGAGTAGAAAAGGTCATGCTTATATTAAAAAAACCCCAAACCCTGACTACTTCATCAGTCTTTAAAGCTTGCAGGAAAATGTTTTGCCAGAGTTTGTTATCAGCTTTGCTATTTCCTACACACAACGTTGTGACCTCAGCATCCTGAGCCCTGCTCAGCCTGGCAGATAATGGAAGCTCAAACAGGCACCAAAAGGCCCCAGGGCACTGGGCAGAGTTACCGGTGTCTCTCTTCCGCAACACTGGAAAACCTTCAGCGTTTAGAGCAGGGCTTGGGACCACAACAAACACAGGGTTCAGGCAATTCTCCTCCTTGGTGTAACTGTGGGAATCAGAGTAACCTGTCCTGATCACAGCTGGGACAAACTGCTGCCTTCAAACAGGAACACCACAACCAAAGTCCAGAGCCTCGCTGCCTGGCACGACTGAAAAAACATCCCAGTGAAAGATAGTGTTCATTTCCAGTTCAGCCAGATCTTGAGGGGAAAGAGTCTTTGCTCCACTAGAGAGCTTCGACCATCTCAAACAGCTTTATACTTACCCTGAGCCACCGGCTGCTCGTGGTTTGATGGCTGGGCCCCCTGTGAGATGAGCTGTGAACCAACACCTCTGCTGGAGCCCAGGGCTGCACCGAGCAGCCAGGGAATGCAAACCAGAGCTCCAAGGGGCACCGAGCAGAACACACTGCCACCATCTCTGACCCTCACACAGCTGGAGCCCAGGGCTGCACCGAGCAGCCAGGGAATGCAAACCAGAGCTCCAAGGGGCACCGAGCAGAACACACTGCCACCATCTCTGACCCTCACACAGCTGGAGCCCAGGGCTGCACCGAGCAGCCAGGGAATGCAAACCAGAGCTCCAAGGGGCACCGAGCAGAACACACTGCCACCATCTCTGACCCTCACACAGCTGGAGGCTCCAGAGCCGTGGCCTGAGGGCAGCCCAGCAGGGCAGCCGGGAGGGCACAGCTGCCCGAGCACACTGAGCACACTGAGCACACTGAGCACACCGGCCCTGCTGCAGCCACAGGGGGCTGGGGCACTGCAGATCCCCAAAGTGAGCAACCAGAGCTAACACACAGCTGAGGCTCCTTCTGGAACCTTCCCTTGAAACAGTGACACACAGTCAGGGACTGGGTGCTCCTGTTGGCACCTGCGACAGTGACACACAGTCAGGGACTGGGTGCTCCTGCTGGCACATGTGACAGTGACACACAGTCAGGGACTGGGTGCTCCTGCTGGCACCTGTGACAGTGACACAGTCAGGGACTGGGTGCTCCTGCTGGCACCTGTGACAGTGACACACAGTCAGGGACTGGGTGCTCCTGCTGGCACCTGTGACAGTGACACACAGTCAGGGACTGGGTGCTCCTGCTGGCACCTGTAACCAGCAGGGACTGAGTGCTCCTGCTGGCCCCTGGCCCTCTGGAATCACACCTCCCAGAAACAGAGGCTCTCCTTGTAGGACAGCTGTTCTCTTCTCCCATCCCAAACTAGGATTTTTTGGAGTGTGGGTTTCTCCCCCACTCTGCTCAGGTCACAGAAATCATAAGAGGCTGGTCTCAGGAAACCACAGCTCTAACTGGTATTTAAGAGAAGCAAAAGCAACAATTTCCATGCCCTACAATTGTTGTGCTTTTACCACACGTTCCGTGAGGTCCAATAGAAACCTACTGCTTCTTTCTTGCTTTGGCCTTTTATGAATTCCTGCAAAGCAGGGAAAAGTGAGGTTGCCCTGCTCAAAGCCATGCTTGCCCTTCTGCAAGGATGCTGTAAACAGGGGCCCAAACAGGGGTGCTGTTCCACTGCTCCTCAGGGGGACATCCTCCCCCACTCTGCGCTGAGGGGGCTCCAACTCCTGCCCCAGGGGAAAGGAAGAGCAGTCTCTGCATAAGTGAAAGCAAATTGCTCCAGTTCCTCACCTAAGTTCTCTCAGTATCTCCACCTACTCCTGGCACACTGCATTTGGCCAAGGAATCATTAAATCTGCCACTTCAGAAAGTGCCCAGAGAAGAACAGAGCCCTGCATTGCAGCAGTGAGGGCAGAGCACGGGCCCATGCCAAGCTGGCAGCACTGCAGTGGTGCAGACACATCTGTTCTGAAGCATCACTACTTGATGCCCACTGAACATGGAACCTTTTCTGACACACCTCCCTGGAAATCCCACGTAGTCACAGTTCCACAGGGGCTGGCACCAGCAGTTCAGCAGTTATCTGTGACCTTTAAGTGTTGAACATGAAAAGAAGTTGTGTCCTTTGTGCTTTGTGCATTCTTTAAAGCATGCAAACCTCACACCTAAATCACCCACAGCATTTTATTAACAGGAAGAGGCAGTGTTCTAGGAAGAACAGAAAAAACCCTGGAGTTTACTGGAGTTCATATATGAAAAGTTTCAACCAAAAATACTTATTTGACTGAAATGCTCTGAAGGATGACATTTATGGTTGCTGTGTGGCATTTTTTTGGTTTGTTGGGGAAGTTTTGGGGTTTTTTGGTTTGGTTTTTTGTATGCATGTGTGTTGTTAGTTTTCTTCTTTTTCTTTTAAATCTTGCAGAACACTGAAAACCAACATGTGGAAGTTCCACAGTTTTCTGCTTTAACTCTCAGAGAGGCCACTGAGAGTTAATTCTTTTTACATATACACACAAAACAGCTTTCTAATTTTATATAATCAAGAAATGGAAAACAATTTTTATTAACATGTCTTACATTTACAATCTTTTATTAGCTAATCAACATCAACATGCAAAAATAAGCGCTAAATACAAACCTCTACAATATGGTTTTGTTTAAACTACAATGGTTTAATTCTTTTGAAAAGTCATAAGGATGTGTTCTGCAGTTGTTAAAATTGAACTATTAGTTTCAGTAATGAATACTATTTAGACCCTAAAATTATGTAATCATCCTGCAAGGCATCTTCAGAAACTTCGCCCAACACTTAAGAATACCAGCTCATTGTCATGTGAGTACATTCTCAAAGCAAGAAATAAGGCAGTAGCACTAATGATTTCATATTGAACCCTATGCACATAACTAATAACTTTAGAAGGACTTTAACACTATGGTAGACTGGAAAAAGAACATTCAAACAAGCATTGGATTTTGCCTGAAATGTTCTCAGTTCTTCTTGATACTTATGCAACCTCCTTAAAATATTTGGGTTTGGAAAAAGACTTCACACTCCTTGAAAGCAGTCCCTATCTGATCCTCCAGAGAAGCCACCTGGTGTCCAAGACACCCAAAATACCTTCCCATGGAAATAAGTTACATCACTGACGCTCAGGATCACTTCACCAGAGGATCATAAAGAAGGCAAAGAGGAGCTTAAAGGAGAACACGGTGGTAGTACTGAGATCTTTGATAACAAAAGGGTCTTGGACAATTGTGAAAAAGAGGGAAGAAAAATGGATTTCATTTCAAATCTGTTCTAAGTTTTCCCCCAGTGCAAATGTCCATCTTTAAAGAAAGCTATCCTTTAGAAGATGAAAGTACTTTTCTTTGAGAAGAGTCCAATTTTTGACCTTATGTTACAAAACCTTAACAATCAAAATTTGTTTTTGTGTATTTTATTCAAGTACAAACTTAAGTCATAATTCCTCTCTTCTTTTTTTTTTTTTTTTTTCCTTTCAAGAGTGTTTATTGTTGCTCATTGATCTTTGGTCGCAAGAAACAATAATGCCACGCCAGGTCTGCTCCCAGGGTGGCAGCTTTTGCTTCTTTGCCACACATTAAGGCCCCCCCCTTTGCAGGGCATGCCAAGATACTCTGTGTCAAAATGCCAGCGGCATCATCCCGTGGTCACACACCTACATGATGTACACCTTCTCAGCTTGTGAGAAGTTGAAGACTTCTTTGGTTCTTGGGCAAATTACTTTGTCATCTTGACGGATAGAAAGCAGAGACTGAAAAAGAGGGAAAGCAAAAGATAATATTCACAACGGTAATTCAAAGCACTATTGAACTGTTTAGGAAATGAACTTTTAATTTTAAAAAATGTTGTGGTCTGAGGTCAAAACATCTTTGCCCCCAGAAGTTACTTATTCTACATTATTGCTCTCTGGAGGGACAGATTTCCAATGCCATTTGATCTGGTGTTATAAATTCACATAGTTAGGCATGTGACCATTAACATATCTTCATTAAGACCAATTTAAGCAGCTAAATATACAGTCCTTAAAAAAACATTCCTGCAAGAAGTATTCCTGCAGCTGCTGAGTTTCTAAGCCGTTATTCTGCTCTAGATGATTCCAAGAGCTGCTGTTTCAGCCCTCAGCAGCCAGGCTGCAGCACTTACGTTGTAGCCATAGACATATCCGTTGGGCAGCATCATGGGAGGGTTGTTCTCGTTCATCACGTCCCCCGAGATCTTGCACACCAGGCGCGAGTTGGCACAGTGTGCCATGGGCAGGGGCTGGGCCAGCTTGTTCAGGGATTTGCTACACACGGGGCAGTCGGGGTTTTTGGAGCTGCCATCCTCTTTGTAACACTGCCTGGTAGCAGCAAGTTAGGGAACAGTCACCACCATGAAACCACAATGAGGTCCCCACGGGATGGGAACCTGAAATGTGAAATATCCTCAGCTGTGCCAGCAGAGCCCAGGGGGCAGAATGCACAGAACATTAATTCCAGTTTCATGTCCACACAAAAGAATCAAGGGTTTGCTCTGTTCCAAGGAACAAGAGTGAGCAAAACTCACGTCTGGCACAGCTAAAGCTTCTGAGGTGCAGCACTCCAGCAGCACCAGCCCTTCTCCAGCCCAACAAACCCAAGGAAATTTCAAAAGATGCAGCTATTTTTGAATATTCATGGAAAACCTTGCAGGTCAATTTGTGTTTAAGTGCTTAAAAACCAGTAATTTTGACCCAGCTCAGAAACCCTTGCAGGCGTATTCACTAATTTCAGACATGAAAAGACAGCCAAACCAGACACAATGTTACATTTTACCTTAAAATTTTTGTTTGGGCATGCCTTTTTTTTTAAACCATAATGCTCTTAATTATAATCTCCCCTTAATTTAATAGTGACCAATTTATACCCCATTTGAACAACTCATGAGCACAAATATTGAAGTACCACATTTCTTACTTGAGCTCTCTGAAAAGCCTCCATAAACCAAAATAAACCCCCACATGGCTTTTTTTCACTCCCAGTAATATCTGCTTTAAAGGATACGGTGTTTTTATAGCTGAAAGGCCTGCCTGGAGTGTTATAGTAAAAACAGAATTGTTTCCCAGCTGATGTAGTCTGTAGTTATCATATCTAAACTGTTGGATCAGCATTCTCCATCGAGCAGGGTCCAAGAGATCCTGGTAAAAAACAACACAACTATAAGTTGCTTTCAATCTGATTGTCCCAGGGAGCAAAAGCCTGGGAGTGACAAACTGTGCAAAACTCACTTGTGCAAACCCATCACAAACCAGAAGTGACACCCCAATATACAGTGTTTAAAAAGTACCTTTTAGCACTACTTTATTAACACAAGTGTTATTTCAAATAGCTGCAGCAATATTCAATCTCCATCACCTACCAAATGTTCTAATCAAGATATGTAAATCCTGGTAAAGAGGTTACTTCTTCCATTTAGTTTCCCACAATGCTGGGCTACAGAGGAAACAACATGAGCACTGTGGAATGTTTCTTCTGCAGCCTCTGAACCATTAACATCAAAAAGTCAGAAGTGGTTTTTAACTTAAGGCAGGCTAATTCTGCTGACAGTCAATTACAGTACATAATATTTACAGAATTCTGTAAAAAGATTTCAATTTGAAGAAGCTGCCACAACCCCAGGTTAGAGAAAGCTTGCAGAAGCTACTCATTTAGAGACAAAATTCTTTAATGCTGTGTGTTACCTAAAAGTCAGGATTTTTCTTTCCATGGAAGTAAGAACTAAACCCACAGGTCAAGGATACACTGAGTTTAAAAGCAGTGCTGTTGAAGAGTCATGGAAGAAGGGAAGATCCTTTGGAAATATACTGAGTGTCCTCTATGCAGGGAGACACCCAATCCTTCCCTTCTTACCCTTTGTATCCATAACCTGCCCTTGGGTCAGGAGGAGGGACAATGTCTATTTACCTTTATATCATATTTATCATATAAATACTACACTGCTCATATTGCCAACTCTGCATGCTACACTGAGGGAAGCAGGAGAACCAATCTGGGGACACCTTACAGCACCCTAGGTGCCACACAAGGTCTGGAGAGGGACTTGTGACAGGAGTCACTCCCTGCCATTGAGTGACAGGACAAGGGAATGGCTTCAAACAGAAAGCAAGCAGGGTCAGACTGGGCATTAGCAAGGTTTTGCTGTCAGGGTGGTGAGACACTGGAGCAGGGTGCCAGAGGCTGTGGATGTGCCATCTGCAGAACTCGGCACTGCTGAGGCCACACCTCAGTCCCGTGTTCAGCTCTGGGCCCCTCACAAGGACACTGAGGGGCTGCAGTGGCTCAGAGGAGGGCACAGAGCTGGGCAAGGGTTGAGCACAAGGGAGCTGGGGCTGCTTAGCCTGGGGAAAACCAAGATGAGAACACGGCTCTGGGGTGATGGTTGGTCTGGATGATCTCAGAGACCTTTCCCAACCTTCACAGTTCAATGATTCTGCTGTTGGAGACCAGGCTGGATTGGGCTCCAAGAAATCCGGGCTAGTGGGAGGCAAAGTGACATAAGACTGTTCAACAGACATCAAAGAAAACAGCTTGTTCTGCCACAGCAGGGACTGTTTTCCTTAAAGTCCTGACAGAGGAAAAGCCAGAGAAAGTTCTATTCATTGGTTATAGAGGATGCTTCTTTCCTTGGATTAATAAAAATCACGTGGTTAGAGATATGATCTCACAAACTTTGTCACAGATTTAAAGAGAATTTACCTAAGAGGCATTTTAGGAAGCCATTTATGCACAGAACTCACAGTCAAGATACTAAAGGTAACTCCAAACAACCATGTGCTGTAATTGTGCTGAACTAGGTAATTATTAGAGAACTCAAAACTTAACTGCCATAAACTAGAATGCTTTAAGTCATACCCATAAGCATTGGGAATTTGCTCTCACTCAACTGGGGTTGTATGTGGAACAATCCCAGCTATTTCTCCTTGTTCTCCCTCACTGAAACACTCCATCCAAACCAGCCCTTAGAATAAAACACAGGATTCTTACTTCCTACCTGTTTCTTTCTAACTGCTAAAATATTGATAAATTCTATCTTACACCCAGTCTTCTAACACATCTATCATTTTTATTCATGACTTAGATCAAATCCAGCATGTAAAATACCAGGATCCTTCCAGGACTCTGGGATGAGCAAAGAAATTCAAATTGATTCTGTGGGTTGCTCGTTTCAGGGTTTTTTTGTGTGGTTGTTTAGTTAAACCACGATTTCATCATCATGTTTAGAAAATGTGTTTATACTGGCACTGCCAGTACTGGCTTGGCATTTCATGGAAATCTTGTCTTGCTTTGACAATTCAGCTCTTCTCTACCTTCTGCCTCCAAAGCAAGTTAAAAAGAAGTGAATTAGCACATGACCACAGAACTGTCTGTAGAAACAGCTATCTGTGAATTTTGTGCTTGTTTAAATTTAGATGTAGATATTACCACTAATATCTACATCCATTTGCATAATCCAAATAAATGAAAACTTATTTTAAGGAACAAAAATACTGCTTTCACATCATTCAAATCATCCTTCATTTCTTCATCCCAACCACTGCAACAACAGTAATGTGAGGAGCAGAATTGAGAACTGCTGCTGGTGTATGAAAGCCACAGGTTTGTATGTTGAACAAGACTCTCTCTTTTTTTTCCCTTTGTACTTGCACATCTTCTGCTCTTGCTGTACATTTAATTATTGTGCTTCCAGCCCACAGATCTCTAATGCTGGGTTCATGGTAAGCCTAGCTCAGTGTGAATCCATGTTACTGTTACAATCCAACAGAAACAACACAAATACTTTCTGGATTAATGTACAAGGACTGGTTACTAAAATTAAGAACTCTACAAAGGTGGAATTTAGGAAGTAAAATTTAAAAAAACCCTTTAACTTGATATTATCAATGTATTTTCCTGTGCAAAGAACATCTGTTTTAATATTGTGCCGCAGCACAGAATTGAATGTTACCTTGTAGGGAGAGATATGGGTGTCTGAAGGAAAGGCCAACATTCCCATCACCTGCCGAACCTCATCCAGCTGGCTCCCCTCAGCCTGACTGAAGTGCTTTCTTGCATGTCTGAAACAGAATTGACACTTCATTAGACAGCCTTGGCTCCAAATCAAGTACATCCACTTAATTGTGGAAGACTTCAGAGAAAACCTACATATATATGAACTCCAAGAGTGCTCTATGTACATTTAAAGGACTTGGCAAAAACACATCCTGCAAATGGGAATGCAAGAATGACTAATAATTACTATTTTTACACTGATTTCTTAGAAACCAGAATCTTTTTACTGTAGTGTCAAGTCTTGCCTCACCTAGAACTAAAACAACCCTGATTATTAGAAGAATGATTATTAACCATGATTATTAGAAGAATGCCTCTGCTCATGCAGGCTCAGTGTACGACACTCCTCTGGCACACACTCACAAGTGAGATAAAGGCAGGCTGAAAATCAGCTGTTCCAAACCCACTACACATCAAGAGTGTTCAAATAACTGCAATGTTTATTTTGAATAAATGATTCTTTGGGGGCAGGGGTATAGGCCTGAAGACAGTATCACTTTCTGTGCAGACTACAAGAAATTGTAGGGCAATGTAATAGAAAACCCCTTGTTAAGAGCACCTTTTTTAGCCAGGCAAATAAAAAATTAATTAGAACCTCAGTATAAATTTTTGTACTTTAACACATACAGATTGTAAGGGATAGACACATGGCTGAAAGCTTGGATATTTGAAATAAGTGACAGAATTACCAGAAGCATATTTAAATAAAAAATACAAACTTTAATATTTTTCAGGAAATAGTAAGAAACCACAAAATTATTACCAGATTGAGGATATTCAACTACTTTAAAAGCCTATATGAAAGTTTCCCCAGTCTAGTGTTCACAAGATCAGGAATTCTCAAGATGGAGTGTAAGTGTGCAGGAAGACCCTTCAGCCTTTGAACTGGTGATTAGTTCAGCATTTCTGCTAAAAGCTCCTGTTTTCAGGGGTGCACAGATGTAGCACAGCAGGCTGGGTATGGAACCAGCCTCACACTGAATTTCTGGCATTGCATAAGTGTAGGAGAATTTTCCCTGTGCTGTGACTTCTGCAGGAAAGATACCAAGTCATCTCTCAAGTCCTCCACTAAGAATTTGCTCTTTTTTAACTTTTGAAGAGTCTTCTATTAATTCCTAAATTACTGTTAGGAATAGACAGTATTTTCAAAATCCCCATTTCATGGCTTGAATAAGAAAACCTAGGCAAGTTTTTGTTTTTTTTTTTCCAATTCTGAATTTGACAAGTAGACTGAGGTCATCAATACCATGAGAACAGTCACTTCAGCAGTGTTTCAGTACTCCCACTTCCTCTCCCACCCAAGCCAGGAAGCAATGGAAGTTATGTAGGACAGAATGTTTCCACCCAATTTCCTATGCTGGGTGAGCAATTCAGGAATGTAAACATTGTTCCCCAGGTGATTACTGTTATGAGGGCAGAAGCACAAACCCCCTGGCCTGCAGAAGAGACAGCCTGACACACTGGAGGAAAGCTAAAGCCACTGTGGAGAGCTGCAGATGAAATTGAGAGCTTTTGCAAACACAGGTTAGGCAAACAAAAAAATTCAGATCTACCAGCTGAGATTATCTGTGCATGCAGGAGAGAAAAAGGGGGAAAATCTTCTCACAAGAACTGCTCAGAGTGCAGTTGTTGCTGTGATGGTGGAACAGAAGTGACGCTTGAGCTTGCACAGCCTGGTAGGGCTGAGGCTCTCCTCCCTACCATCAGCCCTGTACCCTGTGCCAAGCACTGAGCACACTGGGACGTGGGGCCTGGCTGGGCTCAGCCACAGTGAGCTGGGTTCCAGAGTGACCTTGTGTCAGTCTTTATCTCCTGACTTTCCCTCTCTCCTGTGTTCTTTAAAGCAACAACAAGGAAGTTTCCCACAAGGTCTGCATGCTGTGGCTGAACTCCCTCCAGTGAGGAATTCAAATGGAGCAAGGCATCTTTCAAAGGTGAGCACGTTCATTAATTCATAGCACTCAGTTCTTTTTTAGATTGGGAAGCAAGACACAACACTGTAAGTTACCTGGGCATACACAACAGTGGAATTACACCTTATTTGCCCTCATGCCATTATTCGCCCCTTTCCTTGTCATTCAGCTAATTCCATCTCTGTGCAAGTGCTGGCTTGCTCCTGAGGTCTGTGTGAACATTACAATGCCTAATTGCCATGTTTTTACCACCATTAGCACATATGAGTCTCTATAGCTGAGGCAGGGGGCTGAATTTTTCAGGAAAATAATTTTTAAATCCTGACAACAGACCATCCCTGAAGTCACTAAATTCCTGTGACAGATCTAAGTAATAGGTAGAAAATTTTGTTTTTCAAATCCCAGAATGATCCTGTAAACTCTGCAAGGACAAAGTTCATCATCTTTTGTGTGCCCCTCCAGCCCACACAGGTACAGCTGATATATTGTACGTGGCAAATATTTACAAAGACTTGAAGACCTACAGTTCACTAAATTGTTACAAAAGGATCCACATTTGCAATGCCCAGCTTAGATGTCTACAATGCCTGAAGATAAAACTGAACATATTTACTGGGCAGTAGCAATAACTGAACACAAATATAAGGTGTTGCCAAGACAGGACTTGTTTCTACTCAGTGTTCTGGGCAATGCCTGAATGCCTTTATCTGGGACCCTTATGACAACCAGCAGAATTTATACTCAAATAGCTCAAAAGTACATTTATAGCCCTGTTCAACTGCACCCCACTAAAAAAATAAAGTGTTCATTCATCCTTGTAGGAGGGAATTTGACTAAAATGATAGACTGTAGCCATTTTTCCCAAACTTTGGCCACCATCAGCTATTATTTACTCCTTTTTGTCCTTTGTATTCCCAGAACAAGAAGTGCACATGATGTTTTGTTAAGCTTTTAGCTGAGAACTTTGTGTATCTCTGGCATTGCATAAGAGCAAAATATCAAAATGCTGTCAGATTTCCCAGAATGAAATTAGTGAGAGCTCTGAAAGTGTGAAATTGGTGTCATCAGTCATTCATTGTTACTTTAGTAGGTACAAATTTGACAAAAAAGCTCTAGAGACTGAGAGTCAAAGGCTAATGATACTAGGCAAAAAACTGTGTTATATTTAAGGTTAAGAGATTTACTCTTTGTAGTCAAGAACAGTTTTTTACATTCTTGAAACTTGCACTTTCAAGGCTACTCTGATAAGGCACCTTAGAGTAAAGTCTGTTTGTACTCATTCTAAAAGCTACACTTATTAAATAAGATGTATAATTTTAAAGTTCACATCCATTTTAATGTAAAAGCAATGTCACTTCAGAGGTTCTCAGCAGGCAGCAAAAGCTTTCAAACTTATTTAAACACCAGCTGCGTTTCTACAAAATGTCAGTTCCCCCAGTTCCACTCCTCCAGGAAACTCCCTGGTAAACAGCCTCTTTCTCTGCTTTCCAATGGATGCCTGACCTATTTATTGCACCACAGACACAGTACTGAAAGACTCCTGCTGCAGGCACTTAACAGAAGCAAGCTAATAAAACCACAAGTTGCAAGGGTTTGCTAGAAGCAATGAGATTTATGCCACACCTCCCCAAAGGTACTCCCTTATTCATTACTTATTTACTTTCAAACAAGTAGAATGCAATGGTAAAAACTTACAGTTTTTAAGCCACATTATTGCAAGGAAGCATTGAGATGCTGCAGTCTGAATGTACAAAACAATCAAAACTCATCCTCTAGAAAGGAGTCAATTAAGATACAGAAAGACTTCCACAGCTCCTTTTCCTTTTACAATTGGTTATGAAGTTAAAGCAGCCCTGCCATGAGTAGCAGTCTGTAACTGCCAAGTGTAAAATGTATGTCAGGCCTGGATTTCAGCAGGTACATGGAATACACACACTTCACCCCAACAGCACTCAGGATGGATGCCTTGTTTGCCATACAGACAGGAGCTTTAAGTTGTAAACCCCAGACAGGTTATTCCACACAAAGCATGCTGTGGCCTCTTCAGGGTTGGCAGCTTGCAAGTTTTACTACTTCTGATGTGGAAAAGGGATGAGAGGGAAACAAATATCCAGTGACAATAAAATACAGAAGGACCTTATCTGCTTTGTCCCAGTTCTCAGACTATTTCCTTATTCCAGCTCTGTGCCTGCCCCCTGCTTTCCAAGCTACATAAGGAAGCTGTAGCTCAAAGAAAATAGTTTTTAGAGCACGGACTACTCACTGTTAAGATGCACGACTGCACACTTGGCAAAGAAACAAACTGAGAATAAAGCTAAAGGCACAGTATTCATTTGGTATAAAGAGCACCATGGGCTTCAGAAGACAGATAATGGAGCTGAGTCTCTTTCATCCTTTCCTTCAGTACTTGACAATTCCTAAGGATTTGATAATTCTATCAAAGGGTAAGTGCACACATCTAAATGCTAGCTTGTAGGTTTTGTTTTTAATTATGTTTGGTTTTAATTATTAACATTAAAATTAGCTGGAATTCACCAGATTGCACATTTGCATTGGCTGGGACCAGAGTAAAGATGATTTAAGTGCAAGTAGGGCAAAGTAGGAATGATATTAGCTCAAAGCAAGCCATGCATCTGAATGAAATTAGAAATAAAACCTGAAAATAACCCTAAAACTTTGCCCTGCAGGAGAGCTTCTCCATCCAGATTTGGGAATATGCTAGAATGTTTTCAGTCTGTGAATACATTATGGTAGTTTTCTGTCCCTCTGTGCTGCTCTGACCAAAAAATCAGCTCTGCCACAAATACAAGTTTCAGTTTCTCAAGTACCTAGTTTGGGTTTAAAGGCAGCAGAACTTGCAACTTCCTTAACACAGAAATATTATGTGACAACAGTGTTCTTATCAGGATTTATCAGCAAAGCTTCAAGTTGGGCCATGAACTTCTCACCTCTTTTTAGGTTTAAATATTCTTACATAACAGAACCTGGGAGTTCTCCCTCCCTTGTGCACATGTAAGCTCCAGTAGCTCTGCCACCTGCACCATTCTTTGGTGCTGGCAAGGTCATTGCTTATCAAATTATCAATGCATTTCTTTGTCCCAGTATCAAAATTCTACTTATTTCAGCAAGACTAGTTTCCTGTGCTATCCTGGAACATTATTCCACCTTCAATCAGGACCATTAACTTGGATGTATAAATTGCTTCATGTGCTGGTACTGAAAGCATTGTCAGAAAACTCTCTTGTGGTTAAGTCAGGCAGTGCTGAGGTGTGACTGCACTTCTGCCTCTGATTCACAACCCCACTGGGCATTGTTGCTTTCTCTCTGTAGTCCCACTGAACTACTTCAGAGCAGGTAAAAATGGATATTGAGTTGGTTTCCTCATTTGGAGCCAGAAGAATGGAGTGAGGAAAGCCTAACACAGCTCATCCCTCTCCCACCCACGACCATACAGAACTCTAAATTAGGCATCAATACAGGGGTGAACATGGCCTTGCAGGTAACTTGGAGAACAAAATGTTTAATGAAGATAGCAGAGCAGAATCAGTCAAAATTGAAATGTTAAAGCTTTAGATGAAGGTTTCATTAACCTTTTAGTATTTCCGGTAATTAAACTGTAATTAATTGCCATGAGAAGCCAGCTGTACCTCTTGAAAATTAGTTAAGGGTGAATATATATTTATATATTACACTATATGCCACCAGAAAATCCATTTGATTTTTAAAGCAGAGTTATTTTCTAAACCTTGATTTTGAAGAATAAGAAGACAGAGTTTCAGGGACAACATCAATTCTTTAAGAAGGTGCATCTGTGGAATGACACTTGGCCTTTAAACAAAGTCCAAGCCCAGCTTAAATCCAAAGACTGATGACAATAGCAGGGGAGACCCTCCAAGGCTTTACAGGGCTTCTGGGCGTTGCAGCAACAATCACATGTTTCTGATGAAGCATAACACCATCTTGTTAGGAACACTGTTTGGAAAGCATCCTAATGTCATACCTCACAGCATCCAGTCTCTTGTTCTGTCGGATGAGTTCAATGAACTCCTGAATCCTGAGGCTGAACTCCAGACAGCTCTGGGATGAAACACAAGACAGCTTTAGATGGTGCCAGGGCTGCACCGCACTCTGGTAACGACTTGTGTGCACAACAAAAGAGAAATTGTTAACAACATGCGACCTGCTTTGCTTGCTTTTAGGCATTCATGCAAAAATGTTCAAATGCTGACTCTACACACAAGATCAGCACAGAATTCCATAAAAGCAAACAAATTCCTCCTCCTCTTGCCTCCTGCACAACTTCAGCAGGGATGAACTTTCTCCTAATGACTGGAAGCCTTGTTACCTGAGACACAAATGAGAGCAATAGGTGGTTTCCTTGGACTTTCTCACAATTTAAAGCAGTAGAGTCAGCAGGAGTTTGGGCCTATGTGCTAATTTAGACAGGCCTACCCAGAAGACTGCAAGGAAGAATCAAGCCTTTGAATGTCTTTTGAAAAACCACAATATAAATTTTGTGCTGGTTTTTGTTAAAGTTGCTGCAATTCCCTCCCTCCCTTTCTTCAAGCTTCTATCCCTCCTCTTGTCAAACATCTAAAAGCCATGCTGGAAACAATCTCAAACAAGAAAACCAAGTGGCATTTACCTGTTTATGGAAAAAGGTAAAATTTGAAGCCTAATGAAGTTGAGAGTGTCCCTTTAAATCAAATTCCATAACCAGTTCACAAAATCTATAAAAAAACTGTGAATATGTGGAATTAAAAAGATCTCTCCCCATAAAAGAACAAATCACTATGCTTCTTTATAGGGACACAGTCAACTGTTTTATTACCTTATGAAAATAATGAAACCCCAAAGTGCTCTGAATCATGTATAGAACTCGATTCCCTGTGTTCCTCTACTCCACTTGCTGAGTGTTTTTTCTTCAACCATGTTTTTAATGAATAGTTGCCTTTTGTTTATTGTCCATCAGCACAGACACATCAAAATTCCTCAGTATCTTCAGTAAGAATTTGAGCTACTCCAAATTTCTATCTGTTAGCTGCCTTGGGTGACTAATGCACACATTGCAACAACTATTTATTTAAGATTTAAAACATAAGCCATTTGAACATAAAAATGATGCATTCTTTCATATGTTAAAACTAACTTCTTTAGGGAACAGAAAAAATTATTTTCCAAATATGCATTTTTCTGTATTCAAGTCCAGATTTAGCAGAAAATAAAAATTTCTCCTCTTGAGATTTTCAATAGGACTATCTTTGTTAACCAAATCTACACAAGTCCTCATCTAGAATTTTAAATAAGCTTGTTTCTACTAAAAACCTGATCAAGCTTTTTAACTGTTAATGATACCAAATCCCAGGGCTTCCTCTTTTGCTAGGACGTTTCCATAGCAAAACCACATGTCAAACAAATGAATTTTCAAGGGAGGTGCAAGCCAATGGCCCCAGGGTTCTGCAGACAGGTGTAAGTGGAAGCAGAGTCCCAGACCATCAGATGATGCATATTCCAGCTCTGTGTACCTGCAGACAGTCCCACAGCAGCTCTGCACAGGATTTCAGAGAGCTCACATCTGTAAAGATGACATGACTGCTTTCCCAGGCACCAAAGAGTTCAGATTTTAGATAAGGCTTGCATTCAGCTAGTGGTGGCTGGGACTTTAGAACATTACAGTGATGAGTAGCTAAGCAACTAGAAGCAGCAGAAATGTTTGTGTTTCAAAAAGAAGCATAGTAATTTCTCTTCCAACTCTGATCTCTCACAGCCTTAGCTTTGGTTTTTGTTTGATTAAAAAAGAAGAAAAAAAAAAGAAAATTAGAAAAGCATAAGGCTTGCAGAAATAGATTTTTGTTGCACTTTGTTTTTCAAAGAGAGGATGGGGAAGAGTCTTCCTTATTTACTGCTTGTTCAAAATTGGTGATGAAAAAGCAAGACCTTCAGATTATATTTCTTGTATTACATTTCTTGTTCTTAACATTTTAGGATTACACAAGGGGGATTTTTTTTAGCAGTATAATTATGCAATGTGGTTTACATACCAATTCTGGTTTTTCTTTAATGGTTTCCATAACAAGACCATAATTTTCTCTAGAGTAATCACTGCCCCACTGACTTTTGCATCCCATCTTTGGCTCAGTTTGGTGCCCCTGAGTGACAGAGGATGTCACTCCTTGCTTATTGTTAAGGGCACTCAAACATTTCTGGTCAAAGAAAGCACTTAGTTTAAAAAATAAGATAAAAACTTCTTAAAGGGAGGCAGGGATTTTGGTCAATATCAGTTAAAAACAGATTTCTGCAAGCCCTATAAAAGATTCCAGCATGTTTTGAAATGCATAATTTAAAGAGACAAGGAAATTTAAGTGGACTGCATGGCAACAAGTACACAGCATGTTCAGCTCATGGTACTCGATGGCTTGGGGAAGACTTTTGTGTTTATTGCTTGATTAGATTCCAGCTTTTGTTTTTGTATCTTCTCACAGCAAGTGAATTCTTTACTCTCAAGTTCTGTCTTCTTACATTCAAGAGTTAAAAATTACTAAGACTAAAATCTGCATCAAATTTCTCTCAGAAATTTTAAACCTGAGAGAAGAGATTATGAATGAATTTCACCTAATTTCACTCTTACGATACATTTTTAAGAGTTAAAGTCTCAGCAGGATGCACAGAGTTATTAATTTAAGTCTACGTGCATTAAGACACTACATGTTTCTCCCTTTGTTTTCAGATTACACTAAACCCAACTGAGTATTTTATTTTATTTGAACATAATTTGTTGAGACAACACTGAATCCAGAAGATGACCTATCACTCACTTCCAGGTCTGACATTTGTGGGACTGTTTAGCTCCAACTGCCTATGCCTCTTATGAACATTTTTATACTTACTGCCCTTACTTTTATACAAGACCTGTAATTTAAAACATACTGACCACATCCAGCATCCAAGTAGTTTAGACAACAGATGAAGCAAAATGTGAACATGTTACATTTTCATACCTTCATTTTTCTGAGTCTGGATTTGTTGTCATGACACCAAGCCAAACAAGTCATAGTCTCTTGTCTTTCCAATGACTCTTCCACTTCTTTAGCAGTCAAAAACATCTCAATATTTACCAAATCCTTCAAAAGACAAAAAAGGAAGGAAGGTGTTGTTAAATTGTACTCATACTTCACACAACAATTTTTCAACTAAGCTGGAATACAGAGACACAAAAGACTTTGTTCTCAAGACTTCTGGATTTTAGAACTGTACTTTGCAAAAAAGACATTACAGGATATTTCCATGGACTGGAATGTTCTGATAATGACAACAGTTCTCTGAGTCTAGTTACATAACAGAATAGAACAAAACAAAAAAAACCCACGAAGATTAACCCTAGAGTCTTGCAGACTTTTATATAATTGACATGCTTAACATCACAAATATTACCATAGCTCAAGTGAACAGAACCACTCTCAGAAATAGATGGCATTTCAATCTGTCAGAATAGCTGAATACACCTAATCTTAGAAGTTCTACCTTGCAAGAGAAAAAAGAGAAAAACCAGAACTAGCATCAGCTATACATCACATTCACATCTGGCATTCCATTGGCCAGCTTTTCCTTATAAATACAGGAAGTCTAATACTACTGGGAAGTGAACTAAATCATATTAGGGTTAGCAGAATGGTTATTTACAGAAATTTAAACAAACTACACGTATTTCTAAAGTGCAGCAGAACTTGCAGCTTTTACTAAATCTTTCATTACTTGAATTTTAAAACCAAAACATTAACATTTATTTTATAGGTTGTATGACCAACAAAACCATTTACCATCAAAAGAATAAAGGGCCTCCTGCAGCTCTACTGGTATCAAACCCAGGTAAGTCAGACTGAGCTCAGAATCCAGACAGCTACAAGTTTACAGGACAACACTGAGACTGGACTTCAGTGGACTCTTCCCATACCCTTAGGGTTAAAAACCAAAAATCCATTTTATCAATGTGTTGGCAAATGAACTGAAAGAATGCCAGCCTGTTCCACAACATTATTTTCAGAGTATTCCTACAAGAGCATGAGAATAATCATTTTGCTGGGCTGAAGTTTCCCTGATGATATGCTCAAGTGGAAGGAAAGTGCATTACTGCCCTGTGCAGGATAAGGTGACCATATAAAAACCTCTTGCCCATTAACTCCTCTGTGTAAGTAGCTTAACACATAATGCAGTCATATTAATTATCCTGTTTGCCTTCCATCCAGCTGCTGAGTGGGAAGACAATTCCACTGAAGTTACAAACAGTAACATCTCCATGCATCTCCTCTTCTTTGCTTCTTTGAGCTATGTGCTCTCTTAGTGAACAGCATTTGCTTTTACACCAAATTAAAACAAAAGCATTTGTTTCTACATCAAAAAAGGGCTGGATGTGCTAAGTAGAAACAAATCACTGGTTTAATCTCATTTGTTAGCTTTTTATAGTTTAAGCTTCATTACAAAAGAAAATAAAGAAGCATAAGGGCAGCATTTGTTATAAGCCCACGAGCTGGTGAGAGAATCCCAGCTATCTGTATTTATCAATCAGGTGTTGGTATAGCAGCCCTCTACTATGAGCAAAAAGACTGCAATTGCTGCTGAGACAGACAAAATTCTTAAATAAAGAGAATTTCTACATTGCATTTGAAAATTTACAATGAATCAGGTTCTATGTAACAGAAATGCTAATTAGATTCGTGGCTGCCAAAAGAAGTCAAAGCTTGGCAGCCTTCTCTATTAAATAGACATTATGTATCCAGAAAACAGAGGAGAACATTTTAAATTAAAAGAGTTTCTTTCAGAACCAACAATTACATTTAAATTCACCAATAAATAGGATTTTCTTCTGTTCACTTGATAGAAAGTTAAGAAACAATAGAAAAGGGCATTAAGAAATCCTTTTGTAGAGACAGGAATAGCTTTTGCATTTGATTATGAGCAGTTAGCAATCTTAATCATGCAGACTGATTACTAGAAAAATACTAAGATACAATTAGGCAATAAACCTTTCAAAACCCCACATGCCAGAAAGGTTTGTTTTTTAATCCAACCATACTTTCCTATCTTTCCTGGTAGTGCCTGCTCTTGGTGCTTCCTCCTCAGCCAGGACTAAGGAAACAGAAGAAAGGAGAATCAGAGGATTTATCAAAACTGGCACAGCTCTGCTACACAGCCCAGTCAGGAGTACAACTCGTCTGCCTCCTCTTGGATGGGCAGGAACCAGTTCAGCATTTGGAACGAGTGTCTCATGTTCCAGTCAAAACAAATCCCTGTTAGAACTCCAGTCCTGAACAGCCTTCTGAAAGTATTCTGCAATTCCAAGATGCACAGGCTGCAGACCATACAGAAACATGGTCTTTCTCAGCTCCCAAAACACGATTAAGATTTCACAGGCTGCTACAAAGTGCCTCTCTTATATCATTTACATATAAAATTAAGTAAATGTAAATACACAGTTTTAGAGAAATACTGCCACTTGACTTTGCAGGTGCAGGAAAAGCAGAAGCAAGAAATCTGTTGCCACACACTCCCCTTTGAAATGACACAGTATGCAGCACCATTGCAAATGTTTTCTGACTTGTATATAAACTAAAGAGGAATTCTAAACTCTTTAATTACCCTCTTTACAACAGAAACATCTCCCTTCATTTCACACTTTCAGCTTTCACACCGAAATGGGGGCTGCAATACTTTCCTGCCCGTGCTGCAGAATAAGGAGAACCCTACCCTACACTGATGATTTCAGTGCTGGATCAAACCACAACTCTTAGCACAGATTTCCAGCCTCTGTGCCTCGTCAGAACTTTGCCTAAATCACTTGATTACAAATACACAATACCTGAGGTTGGGCAGGAAGACTGATTTACATGAAACTTTCATTTAATTTTACAGCTGGACTGAAAAATAGCCTCAAATGTCTCAAGGAGGAGAATACACCCCATTAAGTATTGGTAACAATTACCCAGACACTCGGGGGGGAGCACAGTACAAACCAGGGAGTGCCACATGGATTTCATAATTTCTGCTTTAAAAAATGGTATTGCACTAAATGAACTAACTTTCCCTTCTATACAACAGTCACTAACCAGGTTTTAGGAGGGTAACTATCTCAACACTGGGGGAACTTTATCATAAAAGAACTATTTAATTCCATTACAACAGTGAAAACTCCAGAGAAAGACATTTTATTAGAGAAAACTGCACATGAAGGCTAAAGTCACTTCAGTGAAAGCAGAGATACTTATTTAAACAAGAATACAGCTATCCATCACCCTGTGCTCTGCCTGATTTACATATATATAGCTTTTAAAATATCACTGCTTCTTTTTAAGCTGCAAGTGCCTCCAGGGAGGGAGGTTACCAACCCCATGATTCTGCACAGAACTCCAATTATTAGGTATAAAATCCTGTGAGGAATGAGGATGCCTTTATGATGATGATTACTAGATACATACTCCTGGCCAACATAAAAGCTGGATCCCATTTGCTCAGATGGGTTCTCAGTGAGAACATCCCAAGCATGTTTATGCACATCCCCTCCTCTGAACAGCTTCTGGACTCTGCTGAGCCTGAGGAGGGATGGGCTCAGCTCTGAGGGGCTGAGCTCTGAGGGGCTGAGCTCTGAGGGGCTGAGCAGGGATGGGCTGAGCTCTGAGGGGCTGAGCTCTCAGGGGCTGGGCTCTGAGGGGCTGAGCTCTGAGGGGCTGAGCAGGGATGGGCTGAGCTCTGAGGGGCTGAGCTCTCAGGGGCTCGGCTCTGAGGGGCTCGGCTCTGAGGGGCTGAGCTCTGAGGGGCTCGGCTCCGAGGGGCTGAGCTCTGAGGGGCTGGGCTCTGAGGGGCTCGGCTCCGAGGGGCTCGGCTCTGAGGGGCTCGGCTCTGAGGGGCTGGGCTCCGAGGGGCTCGGCTCTGAGGGGCTGAGCTCTGAGGGGCTGAGCTCTGAGGGGCTGGGCTCTGAGGGGCTCGGCTCTGAGGGGCTGAGCTCTCAGGGGCTCGGCTCTGAGGGGCTGAGCTCTCAGGGGCTCGGCTCTGAGGGGCTGAGCAGGGATGGGCTGAGCTCTGAGGGGCTGAGCTCTGAGGGGCTGAGCTCTGAGGGGCTGAGCTCTCAGGGGCTCGGCTCTCAGGGGCTCGGCTCTCAGGGGCTGAGCTCTGAGGGGCTGAGCTCTCAGGGGCTCGGCTCTCAGGGGCTGAGCTCTCAGGGGCTGAGCTCTCAGGGGCTGGGCTCTGAGGGGCTGAGCTCTGAGGGGCTGAGCTCTGAGGGGCTGGGCTCTCAGGGGCTGGGCTCTGAGGGGCTGAGCTCTGAGGGGCTGAGCAGGGATGGGCTGAGCTCTGAGGGGCTGGGCTCTGAGGGGCTGAGCTCTGAGGGGCTGGGCTCTGAGGGGCTCGGCTCTGAGGGGCTGAGCTCTCAGGGGCTCGGCTCTGAGGGGCTGAGCTCTCAGGGGCTGAGCTCTCAGGGGCTCGGCTCTGAGGGGCTGGGCTCTGAGGGGCTGAGCTCTGAGGGGCTGGGCTCTGAGGGGCTGAGCTCTCAGGGGCTCGGCTCTCAGGGGCTGAGCTCTCAGGGGCTGAGCTCTCAGGGGCTCGGCTCTGAGGGGCTGGGCTCTGAGGGGCTGAGCTCTGAGGGGCTGGGCTCTGAGGGGCTCGGCTCTCAGGGGCTGAGCTCTCAGGGGCTCGGCTCTGAGGGGCTGAGCTCTCAGGGGCTGAGCTCTCAGGGGCTCGGCTCTCAGGGGCTGAGCTCTGAGGGGCTGAGCAGGGATGGGCTGAGCTCTGAGGGGCTGAGCTCTCAGGGGCTGAGCTCTCAGGGGCTGGGCTCTGAGGGGCTCGGCTCTGAGGGGCTGGGCTCTGAGGGGCTGGGCTCTGAGGGGCTGAGCTCTGAGAGGCTGAGCTCTCAGGGGCTCGGCTCACTCCTCAGCAGGGCCTGTCCTCACTGGAGATAAAGACTGCAGCAAAAATGAACACTAGTCTGAAACAACAAAACTAGGAGAACAAATAAAATGGGCCCAAGACTTTATGAATTTATGTGGTTGTGTCACAGAAAGGAAAAAGTGATTCACAAAAATATTGTGAGGAACAATAGCTGTGAAGTAATGAGAAGGTATGTATAAAGGTAATT